ATCTTTTTCCAATTCCTTTCATAGCTGTTATGCAATTCAGAGAGTTTAGTCTTTTGGCTATTCACTAAATCTAATTCACAGCAATAGAAATTACTTAATTTGGGGGTTGCTTTTCTTACAGGCATGCCGATTCCTGTTGTCTTTTCAGCCTGCATGGTGGACTTGAAGCCTTGCCGGTATACCTTGCCTTTGTTTTCACAGTTACAGCTACACTGTCACCTGGGCATTGGTGGCTACAGCTCTGCTCAGAAATGAACAGATTCTGTCCTTCATTCCAAGCTCTTTCATAATTTCACAAGCAGCTACTTAGAGGGAGTCCCCAGGTTCTAAATATTCATCCTACCTATAACCTGTAGTTAGGAACCAACCCCATAAAACCTGTAAATTTAAAATGTGATGTTTTTAAGAATAATTCATAATACAAATGAACACTACTTTGTAATGTATGTTAAAAAATTACTGTTGTATTCTTCTAAAGGTGTTTTACAATATTGGGACATAGGTAATAAAATAAGTATTGGGGAATACATAGACAGAGCACTGTATACCACAATAATTTGACTGGCATTAGGTACAAACTGTGCCTACAAATTTTACTTAAAAAATAGAACTCATTTGTAATCTGGGGACTGCTTATATATACTGGTAGCAAAGCTGTTCATAGGCTACAGGAAAGGAACTTAAGGCCAGGTCCAAGGCCTTATTTATGGAATTGTTTCATTTGGTAAAATGTTAACAAAAACATAAGCACTTCATTATGTGTGTTATATGTACTGTTGAGTCACCTGTGACTTCGTTATAGTGACCCTATCCTGAGCCAGCCTTCCTAACTCTGACACACCTACCCCCATTGTCTCAGTATCAGTCCATCTCATCTGAGGGCTTCCTCTCCTGTGCTGTCCCTCTACCTTTCTGAGCTTGATATCCTTCACCAAGGATCAGCAGATGAATGGATAAATGAAATGTGGTGCATCCACTACTCATCTGGTGGGAGACATGAAGTCCCAGTGTCTGCTACAGGACTTAGAGATGGAACTTTAAGGCCTCATACTGCATGGAATAAACCACAACAGGGAAAAGATGGTATGATCTCATACAATAAGATGAAAAAGGCAAATGGTGAGATCAGAGTTTTTTAGTTTGGTTTTGGGGAGGGGGAGCACAGAAAAAGCTCATGGGCACTATATTGGCTGGACCAGGGTGTGACTCAGGGCAGGAGACACCACACACCCACCCACCAGGAGAAGGTTGTGTTGTTACTGAGTGTCCAGTCTGCAGTGCTGCCCAGTTAGCTCCATCTCCATAATCACTGGGTGTTTGAATCCCTGATTGTGGCTGTCATGTCCATCCATCTCACTGAGGACGTCCTTCGTGTTCACTGACCCTCTGCTTTACCAAACATTAAGACCTTTTCTAGCAGTTTTCTTTTGTTTTTCCTAGTGGCATATCCACAGTAATCTGCTCTAAGTCTGGCCCTCCTGGCCAGTCTCAGATACAACCTTTAGGAGGGACTGTTGTCTGGTAGGACACTGGCTGTATTTACAATTTCATGCTTAGCTTCTAACTTGACAGGTTGGTGTTTACCCCAGGTGACATGGAAGAAAGGCCTGGTGATTCTGTTCAGAAAAAAAATCAGACATTTCAAGTCAGTTCTGCTCTGACATACGGGTCACCACACATCCAAGTTGATTTGGTGGCAACTGCCTTTTTTTTAATTTACTAACTGGCTGGACTCTAAGTTGGGTGCCCTTGTTTTGGCTGAGGGCCATTTGGAGTTTTTGTAGTTTTTTTATATTTTTGTTTTCATTTAAGCCTCTTGTTTATAGAGCAAGAAAACCCTGTGGAGGGCCCTTGTATTTAAAAATCGGTTGGTCCTTGGGCCTCCTGTTAGTATATTTTGGAAGAACATGCTTCTAAATTGTGCTCTTCTGTTAAGTTTGTTGTATTGAGGTAATCTGGGTTTGCTGTGGTGCTGAATCTTGTGCCATTGCCATAACAGCTTCCCATGAAGGGCAGACAGTGTTTGGTGGAGCTCCCAGTTTCAGACAGGTTTGAAAGCAGGAGTGGCATCCACTTTCTAAATCACATGCCTCTGAAAACTATGAACTTGGAGAAATTACAATAGTTCTAGAAAGACTTAAGGCATTTTGTTCATAGGGTTGCTGGATCAGGCTCTCTTCAACAGCAATCAACAACAATGGTGACTGGGTCAGACCATCAATTACTCATGTTCAAGTTCAATTTGAAGCAAAAAAAAAAAAAGTACATGAGATCCAAGATAGGATCTTGAATCTATTTCATCTGAATTTCAAGATCATATTAAGAATAGGTTTGAAACATTGACCACCAATGACTGAAGACCAGATTACTTAGGGCATGATATCATCCATGAAGAAAGCAAAAGGTCATTACAAAGAAGAGAAAGAAAAAACTGAAATATCAGAAGAGAAAAAATTTCACTACAGTGTCAAGAAGGGAAAACATGCCAAAGTAGAAAAACTAAGCAGAAGATTTCGAAGGGCAGCTCAAGAAGACAAAGCAAAGTTGTATAATGGAATGTGCAGAGAGCTGGAATTGGAGAATAAGAGAACTTGCTCTGTGTTTCTCAAACTAAGAGAACTGAAAAAACGTCAAGTCACAATATTGAAAGATGCTATTGGCAATATAGTGAATGACCCAGAAAGTATAAAAAGATAGAATATAGAATCACTAGACCAAAAAGAACTGACACAGAAAAATTTGAGTAAATACCATAAAAGCAGAAGCCAATAGTAATGAAGGAGGAAGTGGGAGCTGCATTTAAGGCAATGGCAAAAAATAAGGCTCCAGGAATTGACGGGATACAAACTGTTGTATTTTCTGTCCATACCTATTCAGTCTATGCTAAGCAAATTATTCAAGAAGCTGGACTCTTAAGAAGAATGTGTTGGTGGGAATGTAAGATGGTGCAACCATTGTGGAAGGCGGTGTGGTGCTTTCTCAAAAAATTGCAAATAGAGATACCATTTGACCCAGCAGTCCCATTACTGGGAATATACCCCAGAGAGACCATGTCTGCCATCCAAGCAGATATATGCACACCCATGTTTATTGCAGCTTTGTTTACAATAGCAAAGAGTTGGAAGCAGCCTAAGGGCCCATCAACAAATGAATGGATAGAGAAGCTGTGGTATATCCACACAATGGAATACTACCGCAGCATTGAAAAACAAGGAACTCATGCAATATTATTCAAAGTGGGTGACCCTGGAGGACATTATGCTGAGTGAAATATCTCAGTCACAAAGGGACAAATACTGCATGGTGCCACTGTTGTAGAATGGGTCTGACATCAGGGTGGGGGTATGACAGAAAAAACTGGATAAATTATGTATATTGTATTGAAACAGATGAGGGAAAGAACAGCTTAGAAGTGATATATGATTGAGTATTATGGTTAGCACAGGAATCCAGAATTAAGGTTGCATAGAGAAGTGTACTCGGGGTGGGGGGAAGGGACGTGGGAATTGTATACTAGTGAAGGAATTTTTTTCTCTTTGGAGGGGGAAGCGAGCTGGTGGGGAGGGGTGGGAAGGGAGAAAATTGCGGCAATGAATGAATGGAAATCCAAAACCTCTGAAAAAAATTTAAAATTTAAAAAAAAAAAGAATGTGGCATCAGGATTGGAGGGAGACATCCATCAAAAACCTGCCTTATGCAGATGACTCAACCTTGTTCGCTGAAAGTGAGGAGGACTAGAACTTGTTGCAGAAGATTTAGAAAAATACAACCTTCAATATGGATTGCATCTCAGTGTCAAGGAAACAAAAATTCTTATCACTGGACAGATAGGCAACATTATGATAGATGGAGAAAAGATTTAAAATGTCAACAGCTTCATCTTAGTTGGATCCACAGTTTAACACCCTTCATACCATCAGTAGACAATCAGAAGGTGTATTGCACTGAAAAAGTCTTCAGTTAGGGACCTCTCCAAATTCTGGAGGAATAATCATGTCAGTTTGAAGACTATGGTTTGTCTGATTCAGGCTATCGTCTTTCCAGTCATTTGCTGTGCATCTGAGAGCTGGACAGTGACTAAGGATGATAAAAATTGATGCCTTTGAGCTGGGCTTTTGAAGTAGAGTGCTGAACATCCAATGAACGGCCAAAACAACAAATACATCTTGGAGAAAATGCAGCCAGAGTGCTCTTTGGAGGCAAGAATGATGAGGCTTTGCCTCACATACTTATGGCATGGTGCTAGGAAGGGCTATTGTAGAGGGACATGATACTCAGAATGGTGGTCGGCAAAGGCAAGGAAGACCCTCTACCAAGTGGGTTGACACAGTGACTGCCACAATGGGCTCTAATGTGTCAGGAACTATGAAGGTGATAGCATAGGACAGGGTTCAAATCTCATTAATAGGGTCATTATGTGTTATACTCTACTCTGGCACCTAACAACAACAGTATATGAAACTGAAGCGTTGTAATAGTTGAAATTGAAGCATACTGTTGTCTCATGGGGACTTGCTTCAGTCTAGTTATTCTTAAGCAATGAGACTTACTGAAAAATACTTGTTTTATATGTAAGGTTACTTTAGACTCTGGGAGTCTATAATACTAACAGTACTAGTCTTGGGCCTAGAATATATGGATGCCTTGTTTCTTTTTGTTAACTTTTTTTATTGAGATACAATACACATAGAGAAAAAATCAACTCAGTCATAAGGTTTACATACAACTCTGAATGCATTTTCACAGAGTGAACATACAGTATAGCCAGAGCCCAGAACAGAAAGCTGAACAGCACTATCCTGGAAATGCCGACATAACCTCCCAGACCTTTCACCCAGCAGCCCAGAGTAATCATCCTGGGTTCTCAAACTGATAGGTGAAATTTTAACAGGAAAGTAAGTGAACTCTTGTGCAAACTAGATCTCAGCACACAATGCCCTGCAGGGGAGACTTGCCGACAAGTGACAGTGCTTCCTTCAGCTTTAAATACTTGAACCATCCTATACCTCGCTGGGTGTTGCATGCTCTTCAACAAAAGCTTTGGGGAAAATGCCAACCTTTCCTTTGCACTCGCCTTCGAGCCATTCGTCATTCACTGGAAAAGGAAAAGTATGCATCAGAGTATAAGAAAATCTCTAGGTCACAGTTTTGTCATCCTCACCTTGACCCCGTGTTTATGCTGTTTGATAAAGCTCCAAAGTATTATATAGTTAGTTCTTTATTTAAATTGGCTTAAACTTGTGCACACTAAGGAATATATATACTGTCTTCTTTCCATAGTTACCTAGAAGGTTTTTCTCATCCCTGTTCCCCAGAAAGCTGAACAATTTGATCAACTAGTTGATTTTGACATTTGGAAAAATATAAGCCCAGTTCTTAGTTAAGTTTCCATTCTCATTGGGAGATGTCACAAGCAGTGCTCCCTGCTTCTGTTTTTTACCACTCGTGTTTTGAGTCAATTGTTGTACACTGCTCCCTACTCCCATTCCTTTTTAATGTCCTACTTTATCCATTTGGTTCTTGTGATAATGTATCACATTTTAAAATTACATGTTGGTTGTATGAGTAAAGTTTGTTGTGATGGAGAAACCATCAGATAAGCAGAATTATTTTGAACACCAATTTTAAGGCCACATGCACCCTTTCTTCACTTTGAAAGAATACGTTAATTCAAAGAATTGCAGAAGATAAGCATCATATGCTTGGTTAGAAAGCTATTCCAAGCCCACTTGTTAACTCTGGGAATGACAATGCCATTTCCCAAACCACTATCGTTAATAAGATGTCAACCTGACTAGACCACTTGGTGCTTCCCTGCTCATTAGAGTACCAATTTTGCTCCCTCCAACTGAAAGCTAGACAAAATTACTGGCTAACAATTTACAGATTCTGAATGTTTTCTCCCTACCCTGCTTAACTACCTTGAGCAGGGTGACTAATAATACATGTATTAGCTTCCACAAGTGTAGAAGATACTTACCTTCAGATAATACCAGGATTACATCCCCTTCCAGAAACTCCAGGTCCTCTGGTTGACTAGCCTCATAATTGAAGAGTGCAATTACATGGCTCCCTTCCTTAAACTGAGGTTCTGTTGTCTGGTTATCAGAATCAGAATTTTTCTTTTCTAAGGGTTCATCTGGAAAGCCCTGGTCACCCTGGAATAAAAAAGAACCTGTTAGGTTTCCCAACCAACATCAGTCTATGTTGATCCCTAAAGAAAGCAATGACGTGTCCGTACAAGTACCTAAGACGGAAGCTCATGTATACAAATGTATCATCAATGCCTAACATAGACCTAGCATGCACTTTATGAAAAGTCTGTGAGAGCCAAAATAGGGTTATAGCTTCATCCCACCTGACTTAGAAAACCATCTCAAGATCAGACTTGATGCATTGAACGCTTAGGACCAAAGACCAGGCACATTGTGGGATGACCTCAAGGAATGTGAAGAAAGCAAAAGATCATTACAAAGGCATGAAAGAAAAGACTAAAATGGATCTCAGAAAAGTCTTAGTCTTGTTCTTCAACATATTAGAGTCAGAACTGACCCACAGCTGATTCTCCATCAGGCATGAAGCAGTCATCAAAACCGTGCAAGCAAACATTGCATGGTTCAAAATTGGGAAATTTTTCAATCTATATGTAGAACATCATTTGGAGGCTGGCTTTGCTGAGGAGGAATGGCATCAGGATTAAAGGAAGACTCATCAGCAACCTGTATTATGCAGATGTTAGAACCTTGCTGAAACTGAAGAGGACCTAAAATGTTTTGCTACACAAGGTCAAGGACTGCAGCCTTCAATATGGATTGAAACTCGACATCAAGTCAGAGATTTTCACCATAGGACCAACTGACCTCACCATGATAGGTGGAGAAGAGATTGAGGTTGTTAGCAATTTCAGCTTTTTGGCTCCACAATAGCTTGCCTCCGGAAACCCTATGAACCTGGAGAGAGGATGAGAGACACCCAAGTGTTGAGGACTCTCCTTCATAGGGTCACTATGAGTCGCCTGTGACTCGACAGCACTTAGCATCAACAACAAACAATTGCATTAGGGAAATCTTTCAAGGGACCTCTCCAGAGTGCTAAAGAGCAATGATGTTAGTCTAGAGACTAAGCTGTGCCTGATCAAGGTCATGGTTTTTGCAATTGTTTGCTATGCATCAGAGAACTAGACAATGACTATGGATGACAGAGGAAGAATTGATGCCTTTGAGTGTGGTAATGGAGAAGAGTATTGAACGTATACCAAGGACTGCCAAGAGAACAGAGGTTTGTCCTGGTGTGGGTGAAACTAAACTGCTCCTTGGAGACAAGGATGTTGAAGCTCCATCTGACATACTTGGGCATGTTACCAGCAGGGACCATTTATTGGAGAAGGCCATTATGCTTGAAAGATGGATGGGCAGCGTAAGAGAGGAAGACCCTGAATTAGATGAATTGTCACAGTAACTGGGGTAATGGGCTAGGTATGTCAGAGACAGTGGGATTGGCTCAGGATAGAACAGGGTTCAGAGCTATTGTGTGTAGGGTTGCTATAAGTCACAGGTGACCCAACAGCACAGAAAACAACCAATAACAAAGGAGGAGAATGCTTATCTTTCACTTGTGGAGAAGCTGGTGAAATTGAACCTCATGCCTTCAGTTTGACAGGGAAGCTCCTTATCGCTAAACCATGATCACTCCCTATATTCTTCAAGAAAAGCCAAAATAAAGGGAAGAAATGTTGAATAAGAGAGCTGAACAGAAGTTTTTCAAAGGGCAGCTCAAGAAAACAATTTTTCTAATCAATGTGCAAAGACCTGGAGTTAGAAGATTAAAAGAGAAGAACATGCTTGTCACATCAGAAGCTGAAAGATCTTGGGGAGGGGGAGGGGGGGAAAATGCAAGCCTTGAGTTGCAATACTGAAGAATTTCATGGACAAACTATTGAATGATGCAAGAAGCATCAAAAGAAAATGGAAGGACTACATGGTCACTCTATCAAGAAGAATTGGTCAACATTGAAATAGTTCAAAAAGTCACGTAAGTTCAAGAACCATGGTATTGATGGAAGAAGTCCACGCTGCACTGTAGGCGTTGGCAAAAATAATAATATTCTAGAAACTGATGGAATACTAACTGAGGTGTTTTAGCAAATAGATGCAGACCTGGATACGCTCCTTACCCTATACCAAGAAATTTGGACAGCAGCTACCCTGCCAGTTTGTTCACATTCCAAACAAAAAGTGAGCCAGTAGAGGGTAGGAATAATTGAATATCACACAGAATCTTGCTGAAGATTATTTTTTTAAATTGGCTAGAACAGTTTGTTGACAAGGAACTGCCAAACCTTCAAGCTAGATTTAGAAGAGGCTATGGAATGAGGGATGATTTCAAATCCTGGCTGAAAGCATAGAATGCTGGGAGTGGAAGATGGTGGCAGGAGGGTGGAAATGTCTTTGTTTTATTGAATATGCAAAGTCATTTTACTAGATCATAATAAATTATGTGTAACATTGAGAAAAATGGAAATTCTAGAATGGTTCATTATGCCACCAAAAAAAAGAAAAATAATAATCTATCAATAGATCAAGAAACAGTTCAGAATAAGGGAATTCTGTAAGGTTTAAAACCAGGAAAGGTGTGTGGTCCTATCTTTTTCTCCTACTCATATGCTGAGTAAATCTAGAGACTGGCCTATATAAAAAAAAATAATGTGCCACCAGGATTAGAGGAAATATCATCAATCATTATGCAGATGACAGCCTTGTTTGCAGATGGTGAAGACTTGCAGTACTTGCTGCTGAAGATCAAAGATGATAGCTGATAGCCTTCGTTCAGTATGAGTTACACCTCAGCATCAGAAAAACAAAAATCCTCATCACTGGACCAATACGTATCATCAAGATAGATAAAGAAAAGGTTATTAAAAAAAGAAATTATTATGGACTTCATTTTACTGGGACCCACAGTCAACACTTAAGATGGAACAGTAAAAAAAAAAATAAAATCATAATAGGTTGTCAAGGGTCTCTCCAAAATTCCAAAGTTCAGCTTCTTCAGAGTTAAAGAGTAAGTTATCAGCTTAAAGATTAAGATCTGCCTGACCCACACTACCTTATTATCAATTGCTACATATGCATCTTAAAGTTGGACAATGAGTGGTGGTGGTGTTAAGGGTCATCCAGTCATCTGCAACTCATAGAGATTATCTATGTACAATAACTGAACTCTGATCTATCCTGAGCTAGTATCACTGTCTCTGGCACACCTACTCCCATTGACCCAATTATTGTGTCAATTCATCTTATCTGGGGCCTTTCTCTCCCATGCTGTCCCTCCACTCTTTCAAGAATGATGTCCTTCTTCAGGGACCCATCCCTCCTGCCACATGCCCAAAGTATGTGAGATGGAACTTCAAAATTCTTGCCTCCAAGAAGCAGCTGGGTTTCAGCCTCTTGAGTACCTGTTTGTTCTCTTGGCAGTTCATAGTATGCTCTATACTCTTCTTCAGCACTGCAACTCAAGGGCATCAATTCTTCTTCGCTCATCCTTAGTCATTGCTCAACTTTCTGATGCACAGAAAGTAATTGTGAAGACCATGGCCTGAACCATGCATACCATCATCTCCAGACTGACATCGTTGCTCTTCAGCACTTTGGAGAGGTCCCTTACAGTAGCTTTCCCCAGAGCAATTCATCTCTTGATTTCTTGATTGATGTGCCAAGAATGCTAATTGTGGATCCAGGCAAGCTGCAATTGTTAACAACCTCAATCTTTTCTCTATCTTGGTGTTACCATTTGGCCCAGTGGTGAGAATCTTTGTCTTCTTGATATTGAGCTTTGATCCATATGTCAGCAGAACTGCAGTTCTTGACTTTCTGCAGGATCTTCAGATCCTTCTCAGTTCTGCAAGCAAGGTTGTGTCGTCTGAGTAACGTAGGTTGTTGATGAGTCTCCCTCCAATCCTAATGCCATGCCACATTCCTCCTCATAAAGCCCAGACTCCCAAATGATCTCTTCCTCAAATGGATTGAAAAGGTTTTGGGACAATGATAAAGGAAGACCAAAGAAGAGTTAATGCCTTTGAGTTACGGTGTTTTAGAAAAGTTACTGAATAGCTCATGCACTGCCAAAAGAACAGATAAATCTGTCTTTGAGTAAGTGCAAACAGGGTGCCCTTTAGAGGCAAGGATGATACGATTTTTGCCTCATACATTTAGGGTATGCTGTCAGGAGGGCTCAGTCCTTGGAAAACTGCACAATGCTGGAAAAAAGAGGATCAGAGAAAGAGCAGAAGCCCCTGAACTGGATGAATTGGCACAGAGCAACAATGGGCTTGAACATGGTAGAGATTATGAGGATGGAGCAAGGTTCCCATCTGTTGTTCACAGGGTCACTATAAGACATAATTAATGTGAGTGCACTTAACAATACAGACGGTCAATCAGATAAAACCAGAAAGCCAAACTTACTGAAACTTTGCAACAATCCTGAAAATAGTAGATAAGATATTACTGTCCCTTTTGAAATGGGGGAACAAATAAATGGCAGAGCCCAAATTCCTATCTGGTATTCCTTTCTTAGTCCCAACATTCAGGCCAGGGTGTTAGTGATACATCTCGGCCCCATCTCATACCTACTAAGCCTGATGCTCTCTAAAGTGAAAACCCTTATTCAGCCCCATGTTATCTTTCAACCAGTGTGTATATAACATTTCTTATGTATCAATCTCATTCAAAGTCTGTGGGGTTTTTTCTCAAATATTTAAGAAGTAGGCAGAGTTGTGGTTACTAGAAAGGAGAATCATAGTGTTGTTAGGTTCAGGCAAGTTTATTACAACTTACAGCCAGATCTGATCTTTGCCCTGTCCTCTGTCCTCACAATCGCTGCCCATTGTGTATATCATATACACAATGAGGGACATTGTGTATATCATATACACAATACATAGAGAGCTCTGGTGGCCTAGTGGCAAGAAGCTGCACTGCAACCCCAAAGGCATGTAGTTCAAACCACTAGCTACCCCCTGGGAGGATGGTCAACCTCCCCAACTTCCTCCCGTGCGATTAACTGCCTCTGAAAACCCACCAGAGGGTCAGCTCTGGGTCAATTCTGACTCTATGGGGATAAATATATTTGATACATATAATACATGTATCATACGGTGAGTCGCCTGTGACTTATAGTGACCCTATGTACAACAGCCCTAAACCCTGCTCTGTCCTGTGTCAATCTCACTGTCTCAGACACACCTACCCTGATTACCCCAGTTAATCAATCCATCTCAGAGGGTCTTCCTCTCCTGGCTGTCCCTCTACCCTCCCAAGCATGACGTCCTTGTCCAAGGACTGGTCCTGCCTTGAAACATGTCCAAAGTATGTCAGATGGAGCTTCAGAATCCTTGCCTCCAAGGAGCAGCCTGGTTTGACCCTTTCTAAGACAAACCTGTTCAGTTTCTTAGCAGTCCATGGTATATTCAATACTCTTCTCCAGCACCACAGCTCAAAGGCATTAATTCTACTTCTATCCTCCCTCGTCATTGACCAGCTCTCTGATGCATAACAAGTGATTGCAAAGACCATGGCCTGTATCAGACGCACCTTAGTCTCCAGAGTGACACGATTTCTCTTCAGTACTTTGGAAAGGTCCCTAACAGCAGAATTTCCCATCGCAATATGTCTTTTAATTTCCTGGCTGCTGGGTGCCAAGAGTGTTGACTGTGGAGCCAAGCAGACCAAAGCTGTAAAGAAACTAAATCTCTTCACCATCCATCCTGATGTTGCCAATTGGCCCAGTGGTAAGAATCTTTGTCTTGTTGATATTGAGCCTCAATCCATATTGTAGGCTGCAGTCCTTGACCCTCTGCAGCAAGCACTTCATATTCTCCTCAGTTATATTCCTATCTTCTCTAACACTACAAGTCAAAGGCATTAATTCTTCCATCATCCGTATTCATTATCCAGTTCTCAGATGCATAGCAAGTGATTACTAAGTAGGCACAAGTAAACCTGTGTTAACTGGTTTACTATGTAGTCTGACACTGACATTGTGGATAAGAATATAAGTGGCCACTGGAATCAAGACCCCTACCTGCCTGAATCCTATTCCTTTAATGACCACCTGTGTAATCTTGATAATGTTATTTGACATCTCTTTGCCCTCTTTGCAAATTATTAAATTGGGCTAGTAATACCTACCTCGGAGGGTTGGAGATTAAAACAATTAATACCTAACTACTGCTGCTGAGCCCATCCCCACTCATCAGGACCCTTCATCCTGTTTCTAAGGCTGTAAATCAAAATAGCAGATCAACTGCCCATCTCTCTCCCACAGAGCCAGCTGGTGGATTGGAACAGGTGGAGATGCACAGGCCTTTGGATTAACAGCAAAACTTGCCAGGGATTATGCCACCACAGCTCCTACTAATTAATACCTAGAATGTATTTAATAGTATTTGAAACATGTGCCATTATCAATAAATGCTTCCTGCTATTCTTCTAAGTGGTATAGCACTGGTCTTTCCACTTGCTGTACAGAGGTAACTGGTGGTTGCTGTGAGGCTAAACCCTGTGACATTGATGTATCAAATGCCATAATGGTTACCCATGGTGGACAGTGTTTGGTGGAGCTCCCTGATTAAAACAAACTTGGAAGCAGGCAGGAGTGGAATCCACTTCCATAATAGCTTGCCTCTGGAAGCCCTATGAACTCGGAGAAATGAAGAAAGTTCTACAAGTGTTCAGATATTTTCGTTCGTAGGGTAACCTATGACTTGATGGCACTTAACAACAACAACAACAGCAACAAGATTATTAGTATAGGGGTTTTAATCCAAATTGTGTCTTTGCTAAATAAATGCTGTTTTATTTTACACCCAAGTGCAAGCAGTTTTCCTTCCGGAAATTTAAAAAGGTGAAGAACGGCTATGAGCTCAGCTTCACACCATGATTGAGTCCAACCTTGCATGACAGGAATGCGGATAAATCACAAAACAATTGAATGTGGCAGCAGATTCAATGGGCTGGGGCTTTCTGTTGGCTCCTAGACCTCTGGGTTTGGTGCTGTCCTATAGGAAACCCTCTGGCAGATGGATTGAGACTACAGAGAAAAAAGAAGCAGAGCTGCATCTTGTTACCCACTATGTCCTCACCATCAAACATGGTGCCTAGGATAAAAGGTGCATGATAAATGCTGAATTGTTGAGTTTGCCACACAATGGACTTCACATGCCCCTGACCTCTCTTCACTCACCACTGTATTTTCACACCACAGAGTCAGGCAGTAGTTTTTCACTTGGTCCCAGGCAGCCTTCATGCTAGTTTCTGAAAGGAGCACCAGTTCATTGCTGTCTCTTGGTCGGAAGCTGAGGACAGAAAAAAGTAAAGACCAAGTCAGAAGACGTTGCTGCAAAAAGCCTTGTCCTCCAGCCTGCATGCCAGCACCAGGTCTCTAGCTGTTCCCACACCACTACCTGCCTGCATGGAGCTCACCTCAGCCTCGTATGTTCTGGCAGGAGTGCCAGTTTCTTGGACACCATGTCCAGTACCTGGCTGTAGGGCAGCCCAGGCTGCGTCTCCATGACGACCGTGTACTTGTAGTGCACCTTGAGGGTGTAGGGCATGGGCACACTGAGCTTCACTTCCTGAGAGGAAAGGAAGCAAGAGGACCCATGAGTGCCTGAGGCTTCCTCTTTCCAATCATCTCCCAGATTGCTACAGCTTTATGAGTTGGTATAGGGAGAATTGCAATAGTCAATACCAAGTGCCAACATGGTTTCCATTTGTTGGGTCAAGCATCAGTTGCTGTTATAAAGTGGCTGCATGAGATTGAATCAATCAGCACAGGACCTTCCATAATGTGAGTAGGCCTCGGTCAGCTGAAACCCTTAAGTTCAAAAAGAGTTACCCCAGGACATGTTATACCTCTGGACTAAGAATAGACATTTTGTCAGAATGCTCTTAATCCTTACTCTTTCTGATACCTAACCTGCCAGTTTGGGGACACAAGCATGCAGTAATCTGCAGCCTGTTGCCTGACCTACAGATTTGGAACTAGCCTGCTCCTTAAAATCGTGTGAAATAATACCTTGAAGTAAGTATCAGTCTATCTATCTATCTATCTATCTATCTATCTATCTATCTATCTATTCTCTATCTATCATCTATCTAATGTATCATCTGTCTCTCTAACTCTCTGTCTCTACATATGTACATGCACACAGACATATGTTTGCATGTGTATTTGTTTATTTAGTAATTTTTTACTCTGAGCAAACCTATATGGTGGAGTAGAACTTCTTCATAGGGTATTTCTGGTGATCATCTTTACAGAAACAGGTTAGAGTGGGTTTGAACCACCAACCTTTAAATTAGTATCTGAGTGCTTAAACATTTGCATTTATATCTCCAGGGTACATGTACACACACACAAAACATATTTTTAATGCAAATAACATTAATGCTCTGATTTTTTGACAATCATGCCTTGCCACTACCAAGTTGTTGTTATTGTTGTTATGTGCCATTGGGTCACCTGAAACTCATAGTGACTCTATGTACAACTTCTCTGAAGTCTGCCCTTTTGCTGAGCCAGACTCACTGACTCCATCACACTATCTCCCATTACCCTAGTTACTGTGTCAATCCATTTCATCCGGGGTCTTCCTTTCCTGTGCTGTCCCTCCACCCTTCCGAGCATGATGCCCTTCCCCAAGGACCTGTCCCTCCTGGCCACATGCCTTATGTATTTGAGATTATGTATTTGAGATGGAGCTTCAAAATCCTAGCCTCCAAGAACAAACTTGGTTTCACCCTCTCCACGACAGACCAATTTGTTTTCTTGGTGGCCCATGGTATGTTCAAGTTTCTTCTCTAGCACCACAACTCAAAGACATCCATTCTTCTTCTGTCATCCTTTGTCATTGTCCACTTCTCTGATGCATAGCAAGTAATTGTTGACCATGACCTCGATCAGGTGCATCTTAATCTCTAGACTGACATCGTTGCTTCTCAGCACTCTCGCGAGGTCCCTGACAGCAGATTTTCCCAATACAATTCACCTTTTGATTTCCTGACTGCTGGTGCCAAGAGTGGAGTGCTGATTGTGGAGCCAAGCAAGCTGTAATTGTTAATAACTTCAATCTCTTCTCCATCTATCATGGTGCTGCCAATTGGCCCAAAGATGAGAATCTTTGTCTTCTTGATGTTGAACTTCAATCCATATTGAAGACTACTTTGACCTTCTACAGCAAGTGTCTTCAGGTCGTCTTCAGTTTCAGCAAGCAAGGTGTGTCATCTACATGTCATAGGTTGGTCATGAGTTTCCCTCCAGTCCTGATGCCATATACCTCCTCAGTAAGCCTTGCCTCCCAAATGATCTGTTCTGCATACAGATTGAAAAGGTATAGAGACAGGATGCATCCCTGACACACTTCTTTCCTGATTTTGAACCATGCAGTGTTTCCATGCTGTATTCTGAGGACTGCTTCCTGGTCCAAGTATAGGTTTAAATGAGCACAATCAAGTGTTCTGAGATTCCCATTCTCCTCAAGGTTAGCCACATTTTGTTGTGATCCACACAGTCAAATGCCTTTGCATAGTCAATGAAACACAGACATTTCACTACCAAGTACATACTAATATATTCTATGCTAATTTTTTTTCATTTGTTGCTGTAAAATACATTTGCCTAGTGCACTTAGGAAAACACCTCCTGTGGGAAGGACATGGTTAGCAAAATAACATAGAACATATACTTTTTACATAAGAATAGAAATGAATAATATTGTTTCTGTTTCTCTAGAGAACTAAAGCAATAATTCCACAGATGTACAATAAGTAACTGACTTCAGAGCATTGTGGAGTGTCTTGAGATTTCCTAGAGGAGAGCTAGAGCCCACCACGTAGCTGACCAGTAATTCTAACGAGAGATCCAATCCACCCGCTTCTGTAATTTCTTGTCCACAAAGGCACAGTTCAAATTCGTCCATCATCTCCCACCCATGGCAGAAAAAAGAAAAAATGTTACCTTCAACTCTTGCTTTTTTTTCTGACCTAAATAGAGAAGATAGAGAACAAAAGAAAAGATGATGGTGAATGAACACTCTTATCCAGTTTCCACACACACTCTGAATGACACTTTCTGGAGTAGGGACACGGTTTCTTGTCTTTACATCATTTCAAAAGATGTGGAAGAATCTCACTTCAGGGGAGCATAAAGGGCAAAAACATAAACACATGAAGAAATCTAGTCTCTCGGCACTTACACGTCATCAAGAGAGAACTATGGCATGATCACCAGCCCACATGGTGAGAGGAGCCATTGAATGTGTCCCATAGCAATGAAAACTAAGACAAGCCAGATAAGCTATGGAGTCCCAAGATGAAGTAGTAGACCTATTTCTTTTTACCTCATCCTTTTTATGTATGTTTTGTACGGTACATAAATCCTGTGCCTTCCTCATCACCCCTGATTGACTTGAGCCCATTGCTGCAGTCTCTGTCAATCCATCTCCTTGAAGATCTTTCTCTCACTGACCCTCCACCTTTCCAAGCATGTCTTTTTCCAAAGATTGGCACCTCCTAACAACATGGCCAAGAAAACAAACAGATTCATCCTGGAAAGGGTTAAACCAAGCAACTCCTTGGAGGCAAGGATTCTGGGGCTTCGTCTGACATACTTTGGACCCGTTGCAAGGAGGGACAGGTCCTTGGAGAGGAACATCATGCTTGGGAGGGTGGAGGGACAGCGCAAGAGGGGAAGACCCTCTATGAGGTGGATTGATTCAGTGACTGGGGTAATTGGGATGGGTGTGTCAGAGGCAGTGCGATTGGCACAGGATAGAGCAGGGGTTAGGGCTGTTGTACATAGGGTCGCTATGAGTTGCAAACGACTCGATGGCACATAACAACAACAACAAACAACAACACGGCCAAAGCTTGTGAAACATAGCTTTACCATCTGTGCGTCTGAGGAGCACCCTGGCTGCACTTTCTTCAAGTTGTGTTTGTTGGGTTTGGGGGTTTTTCCCCCACTCTGTAGAATATTCAATGTTCTTCTCTAAAACTATTACTCAAAGGCATCAATTCTTTTTCTGTTATCCTTACTCATTGTCCAACTTTTAGGTGCATATCATGTAAGTGAAGACTCCCCCCCCCTTTTATTTTATTCCAAAAGTCAGGTGTACCTTTAAACTGACACTTTTTAGAGGAGAACTATTTTAAAGATATTTACTAAGGATGGTGTTTGATCAATAAAGATCATCACTCTAAAATGCAACTCACCATCAGACTGACCTGGAAATGCTGGAGTTTCCTTCCTGAAAATACAAATTTCTAAACCCCATCATGGTCATAAAAATTCAGAATCTAAAGTTTAATAGTATGTATTCTTAAGATCTTCCTACATTAATATGATATCCTTGTTTATTTCCTGGGCAGAAATGGGAAAACACCAAAAAGCTTTCAAGGACATTTTGAGGAGCGGTTGCAAAAAATTTAATATTATATATAATTGCTATACAGAAGTAACTTGTGGTCGCTGTGATGCTGAACAATGTGACACTGATGTGTCTAATGCGATAATGGTTACCCATGGTATACAGTGTTTGGTGGAGCTCCCTGATTAAAACAAGCTTGGAAGCAGGAGTGGCATCCAATTCCAAAATAGATTGCCTCCAGAAACCCTATGAACTTAGAGAAATGATGAAAGTTATACAATTTTTCAGGTCTTTCGTTCATAGGTTCAGTATGAATCGTCTATGACTCAACAGCACTTAACAACAATATTATGTAATATCATTATATTAATGTCAAATGTCTTAGATATGAAAGTTTGTTTTGTGGTTATGCAGTAATATGTCCTTGCTCTTAGAAAATTTATGCTAAAGTGTTCCATTTAGGGTGACTTATAACATTTGCAACTTACATTCAAGTGGCTGAGAAAAGGAAAAAAAAAGCCATGCATAAATATGTGTATTCATATTGGTGGTGTTTACCCTTGTGTGGATTCTACCCCATAATGACCTAGCATGATTAAGTAGAACTGCTCTCTGGATTTCCAAAGCTATAATCTTCATAGAGTCAGAATGTCACATTTTTCTCCTGCAGAGCAACTAGTGGGTTTGGACCGCTTAACACTGTACCAGCAGATTCTCTCCTTCATATGTATGTGTGTGTGTAGATATGTATATATACACAAACAGTCTTACTCTTCACTTATCAACTGTCTCATCATTAGTGAAAAGTCCTACAACTTAACTATTTTCCACATTAACAACTTATATTTGACAGTTGTGAACACTGAGGCATGAGTTGACTAGGGTGGTTAAGACTGTGTGTCAGTGGCCATGATTCTCAGTGGTTTGGCAGTGATGCAATGAGGTAATGAGGTGACGATGTAGTCATCCCTATTTTGTGATCTGATGTGGTCATCGTCAATTTTTGCATAACCCTGATTTTCACATCATGACCTGGACTAGGGGGATATGTTTGTATAAGAGGGGTGGCAAAAAGCAGAGGGTATAAAACATCAGCAATTGATACAGTTGAGTAAAAACATTCTTGTGTTTATAGTATTAAACTTTTACCTTGTCTGTAGATTTGACATTCTTCCAGATAAAAAGGGGAGGAGGTACTCAGGCAACCTTGATGAGCAAGTGATCATTAATCAAGGGATCATTAATTTGGAACCTACACAGTGATCACCTTTTTAGTGCATCTCTACCAAGCAACTACCCAGAGTGTGCCTAAAAAGCACCAGTAACAAAGAAACTGCTCCTTCCTCTTGTGAACTGGATTGTGTTCCACCCCCAAATATGTACTATAAATCTTAACTCAGTATTCAGGTTATGATCCTATTAGGAATGGGTTTCTTTTATGTAAACGAGACAGTATAAAGTGTATCTTAATCAGTCTCCTTAGATATTTAAAAGAGATGACGAAAACAAGCAGAGATGAGAGAAGGTAGATACTATGTCACAAGAAGATCACTAAGGAACCGTGGGAGAGAAGCTAAACAGACAATGACCCCCCACCCCCCCTCCAGACCTAGAGGTGGTATTCTGAATCTAGACTTAAGGCCACTCACTTGCCTTATTTCTGTTATGGCAGCACTAGATAGTAAGATACTTTCCAAGATAGCCTTCTCTTCACAATTGGAAGATTCTTATTGAGATAAAATCTCCCTATCACGTCTTTCGTTCATCATCTTGGCTGTTTCTTCTCCAGATATCTTTTCAGGGATCTGAAACAATCATTCTTTACTCAGTGATCAGGTGCAGTTACTGCACCCTTTCTTCGTGGGATGCCACTCCGTGCTTAAGAACTGAAGGTATGGGGACTCTTAGGGTTTAGACACAGCTGCCAAAATCCAGCACCCAATACATCACATAGTATCCTCAAGCCCTGAAGCCCAAGTGTGCCAAGGTAAGGCATCTACCTAATAACATGCTTTGTGTCAGAGAGGAGTGTGGGTGGGTGTGGTTGAAAACTAAGTGGCCAACTGTGGGAGAGGACAGGGGAGGCCAGAAGAGCAACTCCGTCAGGAAGCAGCCCAGGTACTCCTGTGCTCCAGACCTGGAATGATACCCACTGACCTGGTGACAACTGGGGTCTTCCTGGAGCACTGGAACTGGGAGGAGCAGGGATGTCGGGCTCTGGAAAGGTTTCCTCCTGGAGGTGACAGTAAGAGAAGATCTTAACCTTCCTTTGTACAAAGTTCTCAGATGGGAGTAGGGAGAGAGAGCCCAGCGGACCAGCATGGAAAAGGGTCAGATACAAATGCTTTCCCAAAAGTCAGGTTAGTGGCAGCATTCTAGGAAAGCTAAAGTACATGTTTGCTAAAAGGAGAAAGAGGGCTGGTTGGGTAAAAATAAAAATCACAGTCAAAATAAAAATCTGAAACTCCATCTGAAAGGCCCTTCTTGCCACCTCATCATCTCTTTCAACTACATTGCAAAGTTGCTGGAGAAGGGGCAGGGCATTGAGCTCTCATTACAGAGGCAGATGGCACAGCTCTTTATCCCTTCCCAAGACTTATTCCACACCATCTGATGACTTTTTCAACTTGTCAAGACATCCAGATATCATGACTCTGTCAAGGAAGGCTAAGCATGCTTATTAGAGGACAACACATTGCACTGTCTAAAGAAAAACACACATCTCTTCCAAGGGATGGTTTACATGGCTTGTCAGTCAGGTCCAAGAAAGTCTATTCTTGGATCTTTCAGATTGATGCAGGCACTCACTGAATCAATGTGCTAAAGCAGATCTTTCTTTTTCTCTCATAGTGTCACTGAACCTTCCAATACATTGACCATCCTTCCAGGTGAGGAACACTCATCTGGGAAGATTTAGCCTCCCATACAGTAAGCTTTTGAGTTCAGGCCACCTCTGCCCAGCAGGGTCCTGCAGATGCTTCCTCTCAACACATCTGCACTTTGCTACTCGTTCCTCAGCTCTGGGCAGCCAGCTTGAGGTGGGTTCAGGATGAGCAAGTCATTGATCTATGCTGGTGACAGTGCCTCTTCCACACTGCCTAGCTTCCTTCAAGGGAAAGGCCTGTCACTGAAGGGAAATGGGCCCGGCTCTGGCACTACATTACCTGGGGCTGCTGCTGAGGATGGATCCTTAGCTCAACAGGTTCAAGGTAGTTGCAAGGAACAAGCCCCTTCTGCAGTGCAAATCGCAGGATCAGAGAGGGAAAAGAAAGAAACATGTGCTTATCAGTACTTACAGCACAGGACAAGTCAAGTCCACAGGAGCCAGCACCACCCCCTGCTATTCTGCATACCTGCCCATTAAACATGACCGTGGCCCAGTTATCATTGCCTTTCTTCAAAACAAAAACAATGTTCCCTGGCATGACCTGGAGCTCTTCTGATGTCTCAGGCACAAACCCAAACAGCACACGGTGAGCTTCTCCTTCCAGAGCCCTGCATGGAATAGACACAAGATCCTGTATTTAGCCTTGCCCGTATTCCCTCACACAGTGTTATGGGACATCTGCAACAGACTTAGTTCCATTAACTCCATGCTCCCTCTGCCACCTAACTGCCTATGTGACCCTGAGTTTAAGGTGCTTGTTTGTCCCAGGCCCTTGGAGAGACAAGATGGAAAATTGCATGTGTATGTGCTCTGCAACCACATTGATGTCATTGTTAAGGGACATTGAATCAAATATGACTCATAGTGACCTTGTGAACAAGGGATCTGAATGCTGCCTTTTTGCATGCCATCCTCACCATCTCTGATACCCTCGAGCCCGTTATTACAGTCACTGTTAATCTATCTTGTGGAGGGTCTTCCTCTCTTTCACTGACCCTCCACCTTTCCAATGATGTCCTTTTCTAAGGACTAGCCCCTCCTAATAATATGTTAAAAGTATGTGAGATGAAGTTTCATTATCCTTGCCTCTAAGGAGCACCCTTTCTAAAACATGTATGTTTGCCCTCTTTCTTGGCAGTCCAAAGGATATTAATCACTCTCCTCCAACACCACAACTCAATGGCTTGAGGTCTTCTATCATCCTTATTCATTGCCCAGGTTTTAGCTGCAAAGCAAGTAACTGAAAAGATTGTGGTCTGGATCAGGTGCACCTTAGTCTTCCAACTGACATCATTGCTCTTTAGCACATTGGAGAGGTCCCTAACAGCAAACTTACTTACTTACTTTCTTACTTTCTTTCTTTCTTTCTTTCTTTCT